CTATATATTTTCTTGATATCAGTTTGATAAATTGGCTTCATGAATAAATTCTGCCGTGAATGTGCCTACACGTTACTGATGTATGGTTAATTGATGTACTAGTAAAGTGTGTTAGACAGACTATTTAATGGAACTGGTCTGGGTAACCATATATTTTGCTCTTGGGGGGAAATTGATTATTTAACTTACTATACCCAATCTGTTATCTCATTTCTGGTATATTAAAACTTACCACAATCATTTACGAGCCAATTTCTTGCTTAGTGTATATAGTGAAGGTATGTATCACATAACCAAGGGTTAAGTCATTAAGATATTGATTTAACACTAATCTATAGTTATTGATCCACTTGAAGTCTGAACCCGGCTGCATTATGTACATGGTGAAGATCAGCTAAGGATCATTAGGGACTGAAAAATGTTGATACACATTTTACAGAATAAGGCCTTGACTACTGATATATGATATTTATGCTACATTTATCTGATTTATTTATTGAACTATCTCTCCTTATTTATTGCAGTGCTATGATATATTGACTGAGATGACTTTATTTCAAGTTTGAAAATGTTGATATAAATTACGATATTTCACACATAACCATGAAGTTAACAAAACATATCTTTACTCCTGACATGTCCTCTTGTCTCACTTCCATCATTTAACCAGATGTGGGGATGATTGATCTTTGAAGTAGAAAATATCCCTCAGAGAAATGTGACTGTAACTATTTAGACTTCATTCTATTAAATAATTTTTTTTTTCATTTTGCTTTTTATAACTGCCAAAAATGGTTGAGGGATGACATGTCATGGTTTATTAATCTGTAAGTAAGTATTGCTCTCTAAGTAAAATGCTGGCCATTAATATGTATCTGTTTAAATCAATGAATGAATACTTAGAATGTTACATAGCCTTTTGCTTTGAAGCCACTGATATATTCAATTATCAGACTCGAGATGAATATATATTTGATGGCTTATGTCTTAAATATTTTTAGGTACTGTTTTCACCAGCAAGAAGATAAAATGATTTGTTTATTTACTTCATGCCTGGTCATAATCATATTAGAACACACATTTAAGGTGAAGGTTTTACTGTGTGCTCTGGCGGTGAGTCGCCATGTTTTACCTTTCAAAATATATTCCCTAATAAGGAAGCATGTAACTGATATGTGGAAATTTGTGGCTGTGATGCAGTGAAAACTGAGACAGGTGAGAGTTTCCAAAAACTGAAACAACATATAAACATAATAAGAACAATATGAGAAAAGTTAAAAAAAATGTGTATGTTATGCTAATTGAGTGCATGGGGGTTATTTTACACTGTCATGTCTTCATACACATGACATTTGACATTCTGGTGCTGGGGCCATGAGATCCAGAATGACAGCGGTTGTGTAAGCAGACATTTATTTACAGATGTTGATACAGGGTCTAAAGTCAGATCTCAAAGAGAAGATAGCATAGTGATCTTATTATGACAGTGATTCATATTCTGTAAACTGCAACTGGCTGTAATGCATGAATACATGTATATGATATGGGCTTTTAAAGCCAAGTCTCAAAGTAAAGAAATTTAGAGAATGTTGCTGAGATAAGTGCTACATGTTACATGTGGTATTGGGCATACATAACAAATCTGTGCAAGTTATAGAACAATGCCCCCCAGGTGTAAGAAATTATGGCTGATATATATAAACTGTTCTAAAGAAAACATTGACCTCAGAGGTGCACAGGTGTGTTGCACATATTTAACAGGTGAAAAAGCTGCCAGTTTTTAACTTGGGACATATTTTTATTGTCCGTTGAATGAAAACCGGTTCGTTGCCTGTATGCGTTGTGTATGTGATAGCCTCAGCAATAGAAGAGAGTTTGTGTTGTTGGTTATCTGACAAAGTGAGCCATTGCATTGTTATGTCCATATATACAAGATGGAAATCAGCCTTCAGCTAGACTCCTGCTAACTTCATGTAGCATACATTAACCTGTGTTTAAGCATAAAATAAAACATGTCTACTTAGCAATGACCAAAGCCAAATGTGACCACCACATGCATATTGTGGACACTGCATGAGGTAGTGCAATTAATGCATCTCCATGTCTGTTGACTCTGACTTTGGAGGGCACAGGTTTTAACATGAAACCTTGAGCTTATATATGTTTGAACATACAGTTCAGCCAATAGGTGCATTAGTACTTGAATCAATAAAGGACAAACGGTTGCACTATTGATTGAATTAAATTGTATATCATTCTAAATATAATGTTGCTTTGGTCAAGGGCCTTTAGTTCAAGATGGACAAGAATTTGTTCTGAAGGAAAAAAAATCAGCTGTGCAGCAGAGCTGTCAGTCAAAAGTGGTGCTTTCTCCAACGTCTGCCAACTGCAACAATTAAAAGGAATTAATATAAATATTTTCAAACAGTATCTCTTTCAGATGATAAGATAAACTTGCAGAATGAAAAAAAAAAAAAAAAAAAAAGAAAAGAAAAAAAAAGAAGAAAAAAAGCGCAAGAGCGTTACTGTTTTGTCTGTGGTTTGCAGGCATTTTATGGCCTCCGTTGATTGAATGCAATTTTCATAAGGATCCATTCACCTCCAGACAGCGCCTCACCACTCATAACTCATTCCACACAATATTCCTGGCACTTACTGAGAAGGAATAATATTTTGGGTTCATATAGAGCACTGACAGCTGCGAGGTGGATGCAGAATCATTCCCACCCAGAATAAAACCGCGTCTTGATTTTCTTTGACAACTCAGTGGACAATGCCGACACTGAAAGATTTCGTGAGTCTTACAGTTCTGCAATTGTTCTGGTACCTGTTTATCGTAGTTTCAGCAGGACGACGGTCGTGTGAGGGAGGGCAATCCTCTGCAGATGGACAAGAGCCTTGCGCAGATGACAGCGTCCCCTTCCTTCCCGGTCCCCCGACCCTGGAAGCTGTGGCCAGATGGGGCCAGGTTTACCTACGATGTCATTACCCCGCAGCTAGGGCTGGTGATAGCAGCAACACAGCGCTGGTCAGATACGAGGTTGTGGTGACAGCGCTTAGGGGCTCCACCCGAGCAGATTTGGCCAGGAAAATAACCCACGGAACTGAAGTGTTTTTGGATGATGTTCGGTTAGGTGACGAGGTGAGAAAAATCATTTAAACCTCAATAGGATAGGGTTTTTTTACACAAAAGCAATTTTTGTGGGCAGTAACCATTATATGATTAACCAATAAAATAAAGGTCTTTCAGCCATCGCGCTGCTTTACTATTTATCATGTCATCTTTTTACTATACTAACGTTCAGTTTTGTTGGTATTAAATTAACAGTGTTTTACATCATGATTTGACAGTGGCAATTAAAACAACAAATACTGCTCTTGTCAGATGTATATGTTAAGTTTATTTGTAATGTTTGTCAGGAGACGTTCTATTAGGGGAAAAACTAAGCAAGCACCAGCTGTTAACTGGCAAGTGGTGACTGGAGAGATAGAAAATCTGTTCCAATTAGTATTTGCACCAACAGTTGTTGCTTTTTTCTTGCTGTCGAAAAACATTTTGAACTATTTCTCTTCCTAGGCTACGTGTGAAGTGAGAACGTTCTATTCATCAGATCCAAACACCAAGAGCCCTCCAGTGAGGAGCTTACCCCTTCATCTTGGAGTAACGGTAATATAAATTGCCTAAAGGTAAAATGGGCATATTTTTTATACGGAACTGTGAAGAACGGAGTGATAAGATGCAGGCATATTTTTTCCATAAGTTGAAAGTGACACAAGCTGACGAAAGCATCGAAATATACATTTATGTTATCATGCCGTTGCTCCCAACTGGGCCTCCAACGAAATCCAAAATTGATTAAGAGCATGTTGATAAACAATGATTGGACATGTGATTATGCTTTTGGTCTGTAGGGGAAATTATAGAAAACGTCTGGACCGTTATTTTTAATATTGTAGTTTCGGTTGAGTATTCGCTAGTTTAGAGATAAACTGCATCTAAACGTTTGCGGTGTCATTTTGTGCCTTTGCCTTTAAACCGTGTTCCCCTTCGTAGTTTCTTGGTCCAAATCGCGTTGACTCATCTTGTAGAGTAATTTACAGCTTCTTTTTAACACAGCTAGTCAACCTATTCCTGGAGGGTAGGGAGACTCGCTCACCCAGTTCACGTCACAAATCTAACTTTCATTTTAACACCAAACAACAGCGTTAAATTAACTGACAAGAAAAGTGTTTGAGACTATGTCACAAGTCAGTTGCAATCATCGAAACTTGCAACAGATTAGACGGCTGCAATCAAGATCTTATGGTCTAGAGCAGAAAGTAACACAGATTAGAAATAATTGGCAGAGGGAACATTCCCTTTGGAAGTGTTTACAAGGGGAAATCTTGAAGAAACATCTACAAATTTAATTTTGGTCATTTAGATCTCTAATGCCACGCACTGTTATTATTTTTTCTCGTCAGACTAACACCCAAACTTTACAACTGAGAGAAGACGGACAATATCACAACGTAACATACGAATTGACGTTGCCATTGGTTTGCGGTCAAAGTAAAGACGTCTGCAGTCTGAAGTTCGGGCTGAGAACTTTAGAATCTTTCCACAAACATGGTAAGATATTTTGCGCCTCATAAATGTTAAGGTAAAATTGTCTTCCAAAGCTCAAAAAGAAAAATGATTAAATTCAAATATCGTATTACAAGGACACATTTTAGGTCATATCTTTAGGTGTTGTTTTTCATCGTTTTCGATTTTTGCGTCTGAAAGTCAAGCGATGAAAAAGGAATTGCCTCTACACTAAAATCCTGATCACATTTGGGAAAAAATACAATTATCCGTGTCGTTGCGTTTTAACTATAGATTTTTGACAGAATTGTGCGTCTATAAACTTGTCAGGTGGGTCTCATATTTCAGTTGACAATGTTGGGTCAGATATATTCCTTTCATCGTGTGTAATCGAATTTTCTGCGGAGCTCTGTCGTTCGGAGTCTTGCAAGCAGACGATCCAAGTGACGGCGGGAAATGATGGATTTGATGACGACGGGAGAGAAACGGAAATACACCTTGACTTACTGGAAGCCAAAAATCTCGAATGGAAAGGATATGAGACGCCAAGAGTGAAGGTGACGGTGTATAAGTATTTCAGGATGGTTTTGTTTATCACTCTCTTGAAACAAATGGCTGCCTTTTCTAAAAAAAAACGTGCTTTAATGATTTTTTTGCTATTCTCACTGAAATGACGTTGTTGCTCACTAAGTCAAAAAAGTAAAGCATGCGGTTAAATAACTTTTTCCTGCAACACCTCCAATCTTATTCATATTTATAGAAAAATATGAAAATATTCACTTATCTTCAGGTGACAGTAAAAGATGTTCCTACAGCCAGGTGCTATGTCTTCGGAGATCCCCACGTGATTACATTCGACGGGAGGTAAGGTAGGCTCTCCAAGGTAAATACAAATATGGTGGCGATTAACCGCGTAAATGACTTTGAACAGTTTATTTAGGCTTTAATATTGCAAAAAAGCTGGAAACAACCGGGTGAAGTCACAGGATTATTCTTGCTGGTATAGGCTATACAATGGGGGGATTCAGAGGGTCAAGAACAGGATGGGGAACTAGAAAGTACACCTTAAACTTTTTTTTATCATCCAGCGTTTTAAAAAATAAATAATAAGTTTGAATATTTCAAACATATTTGAATATAAAGAAATGTATTTTTATTGTCTTTTTATTATTATATTATATTATATTATATTATATTATATTATATTATATTATATACACATCAAGAGGACAAAACAGTAGCACCATAAACAACCGAGAATTGTTGGCGCGAGGAAGACTTTTACTCAAATGTTTCAGTGGGTTTCTTTTTTAGGCAGTTTGACCTGTATAAGACTGGAACTTTCGTCCTGTATCAGAGCAAGAGACGGCAGTTTCAGGTTTGCTGTCCTTTTTCTATCTCTCATATCTCTCATAACAAAGCTGCAACTGTCAAATAGAAATATGCAAACTTGCACTACCAAGATGTTACAAACATTTAAAAGTGCAACTGCAACAGAAAACTTATATCGCTTTAAAATGTTCGATGTTTTTACTTTTTAATTATATGCGTATGATACTACTCTTACCAGTTGATATTTCTATATCCCAGGTAGATGTGCGAGCCTGGGCGTGTAGTGAGACACCCAACAGGGCAGCGTGCGCGTGCGGCGTAGTGGCTCGTGAGGGACAGGACACTGTCGCAGTGGACATGTGTAACACCGTACCTGGGAGCTCTGGCCAACCTGACATTGACGTCAAAAGCGGAACGCTCAGCAGGAACGCTAAAATATTCAAAGCCAGAGATGGAAAGATTGTTACGGTAAGTTTGGTAGTTTCTTATTAGCAAATTGTTAGGTTTAGACGGAAAGGGGTGATATTATTTACGCTACGCTTCTTTTTCTAGACTTAAACAATATGTTTTGATATGCGTTTTAAGATCTTAAAAGATTTGATGAAGGCAAATATCGCAGTCCTAAAATTGGGAAATACTCCGTTACTTATTTCAACCCTTATTATCAAAATAACCCACTGCCTACATTTACGTTGACAGTGAATCTCTCCCATGCAGAGATGATCTCTCTCTTTTGACACAGGTTGCTTTTGGGTCTGGTTCTTTCGTCCGCATATTCATAGAGAAGTGGGGCCTGTCCCTCGTGGTGCAAGCTCCCAGTGAAGACTGGAACTTCACCATGGGGTTATGCGGAACATTTGACGGCGATACCAGGAACGATTTTCACGACAGAACTGAGCAGGTTTTGGTGACCGGAAGTGAGCAAGAGAAGGCGTATGAGTTTTTGGAACGATGGAGGTAAGTCCTAGCGGTTACACTGCAGAATTCAACAGAAAAATGTGTAGGAAACTTTGAACTGTACTACGTGATCACTGAAGGGCGAACGTGTCTCTCTTTCGTCTCTTGTGCTTTAAAACGCTTTTAAGTGGCATTTGGATAGGCAATTTATTTGGTTGTTTGGTTTGGTAATTACTATTAATTATACGGAAGTACTGTTTATGTATAAAGTGACAGACTGCTGCCTGATTATTTTTTTCTATTTAAGATTACTGCCAGGAGAGAGCTTATTTGATTATCAGGAATACAAACAACAGACAGTGTCTACCAAATCTGAGCGTACGTTCTGTGATTGCTCCAATTCACGTAAGCAATCTAATTTAAATGTAAAAGAAAACATATTAATTTCAAAGACAAATTGCAAGAGTAAAGAGTGGGCTCAGTTACCATTCATCATGTACCAGAAAGATGTGACGGCAGAGTACAACAACAGCAATGCGTATGTCTCCGCCAGGAGAACGCGTTCGGCAGAGCTGGATGCTTATGAAAGGTTCCGTGCATATGTAGCGGCAAGAAGGGCAGCACAATTAAGTAAGAAGGATGATAGTGAATTCAAAAGTGTTCCCACGTTGAGTACTACCAAAATTCCTCAGGTACAAAGTGTGCAGGAAGCAACAACATCCTCAACTGACCTATATAAACAGGCTCCGTCATCAGGAGCGAGACTGACAGGAACAACAACTTCCACAAAAATATTAACAACGTCATCTAAACCATCTCTAGTAACATCAACCCCATTGCCATTGCTTCAATCAACAACAGTCCAGATGGAACTGACTACAAGTCGCCGTGTTCCAAGTAGAATTGTTGGCTTCACTTCACCCTCAGCACGTTCCAGACATGGCTATTTAAGAAATAAATGGGTAAATCGGGCACGAGTCTACAATATACGATATCCGGTTGAACGCACCACTATTTTGCCGACAACCAGGGAACAAAACGTGAAATCACGTACCAAAGAAAATAAGCACCCAAATATAAAGAGTTTATCCACCGATACGAACTCCGAGTATCAAAAAATTCGAAATCGCTGGCGACACTTACACGAACCCGTCTTCAAAAGACTTCGCCCTGAGACAATAGAACGACTAGAAAGCAGGTTAAGTGAGTTTAGCGATAAGTCGTCTTATTTCTTCGCGGGAGATTTCTTGGATTTGGACACCCCACCATTAGATTTGAAATGGCCAACTGCGAGCGGTATCACCCACAATAGGGCTATATTTAAATGTTCTCAGGTCATTCTAAACACCTCAATTGCCAAATTTTGCGGAGAATATCTCCAAGAGAAAATCCGTGATACAATTGACAACTGCGTGAAAGATATTCAAGTGAAGGAAGACTACAAATGGACTGTATATTCCATACCTTTGGTGGAGGCGCTGTGTGAAGAGGCAGTATGGAAGAGACGCCTCCAACTTTCTAAAAGTATTGGTTTTCCACCACCAAAAGTTCTTAGCGCTCTAAACTGCCCCCGTGGTTGCAGTGGTCGTGGGACTTGCGGAGACACGGGATGCCAGTGCGTGAAGGGGTTCCAGGGTGCTGACTGCACAGCTGTGGCAGACCGAATGCACATGACCTTACGGACGTTTAATGGCGGACTCTGTGATACACGCGCGTCCAGTTGTTCGACGATCCAGCTTATGTCGGATGAACCCATTTCAGAAGAAGGTGTTAAATGCTCTATGGACTCAGTAATGGTAATTAGGGGTAATTAATTATTTGAAAAAGGTTACTTGCACATTCTGACGCTAGATTTTAAATTAAAATGTTAGTGTCATCATTATCTATAGAAGTAAGAAACACTTTGGAAGGAAAAAAAGAGAGAAAAATTGTAAAAAGATATTTATACATAAATGCAATAGATAATTTTATGTGAACGGCTGACTTCTATAACATCAAATGTCGGTCAGAAATGCTGAATAGTTAAATGAACATTTTTAGACAACACTTAAATACGTCATGAAAATGTTTACCTGTATTCTTAAGATATCGTGCAATGCCTACATTTTGTCAACTGATCTTTCCATAAATGTGATGGACATCGCAACCAATTTTTATAAAACAGCTTGGAGGAAAAACAAGGTTGGAATCAAGTGTCACTAAGATGGTGGTTCCAGTACAAACCGTGTCACCGTCCATTATTCAGTGCGATATACCGTCGATACCTTCGATTCCAAATGAGAATATGCAAGGGCCCAAACTATGGAGGATCAAAGTAAGAAAACATTCACTGCCATTGGTAACAGAAGTTAATAGTTAAATACATCATTCATTGCTCAAAGATTCCCCAAACAAATTTTTTTGCATATGGAGAAATTTGCACTTTTTGGTGGTGTGTCCGGCGAGTTCATGTGCATTTTGATTCTGCTTAAAATGTTATTTTTAATGTATGTATTATTGTTATATCTTTAAAAGTTGGTGTCCCATGAAGGTGTAGAACTAAGTACACCAAGTGAAACCATTGTGTTCGATTCTGTGTGCTGGGACTGCAGTGGTTTCTCCAAGACGTGCGTCAAAAAGGTTCGTAGCTACCTATTCTTCAGATACTTACGTCGCAAGTTTTTTTCTTTTGATATTGTTGGAATCGTTTATATTGTTGGAACTCCTTGATATTACAGAGAAACGGAAGATCCCTCTTTCTTTATTAAAAAAGGGCACGTTCCCATCTTCTATTTTCATTTTTGCACTGCCGTTTCATACTTATAACACCATTTAAGTTCAAACTGACTGTTATCAAACCACGCACTTTGTCACATTGTGCATTGTTTTTCAGAACAACACTTGTAATATAGATGGCGTATGTTTCGCAGCGGGCTCCTACCATCCAGCCGATAGGTGTCAGCAGTGTCAACCATCTTTGTCAACGACAACCTGGTCATTGATCAGCGGTGACATAAAATTGATACTTTATCAAATTATCCTTAGTTTATCAAATTATTTGAATATCATTTGCCATATTTTATGCTGTATCAAATTGGACATCGATCATTGGATGAGAAATTATATATCGTGTCACCAGCATTTTAGTGTTATAAACTTGCCATCTATCACCTTTCACCCTTAGGCATGCAAAAAGATTTTAATAAAGCATGGTATCATACTTTCAGTAAATGAGCCACCATTCTCCACTAGACCACGAAAAAAGTTTTCGGCGATTGCTGGCGAGCAATTCAACTACCAAATCGTTGCCGCGGACCCCGAGGGCTCCCAGCTGACATTCTTCAGCCCATATCGGGACTTGGTTGTGACGTCAGAGGGTAGGATCACGTGGAAGGCCGCTTCCAACTCCTTGGACGGCTCGCCCAGTGTGTCTACATTTAAGATACTGATATCAGACGAATGTGACGCAACTTCAAGTTTTGTTTTTGATGCAAGTATATTTAACATCTGGCCACAGAAAATTTGGTTATCTCCTAGTAATAGCTTTATTTGATTAGAAAAAGTTAAATAAATGTTTAATTGTCCCATTTAAATTTAAAGGTGACAGTCTGTGACACTCTTGTTTGCGCTAAATCGTGTTTATACCTGAATGTGGTAAACTCGTTCTCCAGCTAAAAATAATTATCTTCATCAGCTTACGGCATGACCCTATTACTTTTTTTGCGTAATTACTCAAGGAAGACTGGTTCGTGTTTTTTCCAGGTTACAGTGTATAAATGTAAATGTCAGGGTACAGGAACGTGTGTTATTAACCAGGCTTTGGTAGGAAAAGAGGATGACCCGGTGATTTGTGTGTGCAGGGGTGGTTTCACAGGTAGTTCGGTGTGTCTAACTGTCTGTCTGTGTATGTGTTTATATATCTGTTGCTCTGTCTGCTCAAATGAAAGGGATGAAATATATGTGCTAGACCAGGTTGCAGTTTGTTAAACTTACGATAGGTATTCATTATATATGCAGTGCAATAGTATTATCAGGGTAAGCTCCAGATCCACCGCTTATAAGGGACCGTCTCGTTACATAGCGCGTCGCGTCATGGCTGAATATTTGTGACGTCATAATGATATTAAGTTGATTGATATTTTTAAGAAGATATAATCATTCCGATGCACTACAACAAATATTTTTTATCAAAAATGTATTCTTGATATTATGTTTGTTAAATCTATGTTAGCATTTCGGCCTGAAATACACGTTGATATCTAAAACTATTACTCACATAACTCTTTATTGAAATAAAATTCAAGCAGTTTTTCCTCTGTCGCATTACAGGCAAGCATTGCCAGACACGACTAAACGCGTGCAGCTCATCCCCATGCGTTCGGGGCAGATGTATAGCTACTGCAGACGGGTATGGATGTATTTGTAGGAATGGATTTACAGGTAAGACATCTTTTCAGAAATAAAACCCAAGCACCAAGACGCCACCACGGCTGATGGTCATAGTTTTTGACAAATTAAAGCAAGTTCCAAGAAGATCAACAGACACGGCTCTATTGAATGTAATTACACAGCTTTACTGGCAGTATTTCTCTTCCAGTCTTTAAGGTTGTATTGTTTCTATTATAATGGTCAAAACTACTTGTATGTTTCAAAATGAGTACTATATACTAATTTCCAGGTCGGCTTTGCGACAAGGAGATAGATATTTGCCATCCCAACCCTTGTTACCCTGGGGTGAAGTGCACCGCAGCCAGGGGGTGGTATGTGTGTGGGCCCTGTCCTGAAGGGACTGTCGGGAACGGGCGTCATTGCACAGGTATGTGTTCGATTTCACTGCTTAATGGGAACTTAAAGTTTTATTTTGTGTCAATCCATTGCAGATTTCATTCATCATCAAACTGCCTTTACTGTGTCGAGGTTTGATATCATCACCTTCCTTTGTATACAGAATGGAATGCCAATTAGATTAAACAATTCTACAGGCCAAATATAGACCCCACTGGCAAGAATTAATAAATCGGTTCCTTAATCAACAACGAAACCTGTTCCCAATAGGATTGTCTACCACTGCTGTTGAATAATAGAATTGTTTATTGCGTTGGATTTAATATAGCAATACATCCTTTTTTATGTTGTTTCTAGTAATCGAATATCATCTGACATCAGACCATGACATTAAAGATAACAACTTTAAAAAGAGATAGTTTATTAGGTTTCTGAAATGCTTTAGTCTAGCTATATGTGTAAGAATATTTATAAAAATTGAATACTCTTAATGCAATCACAATATGTATTGTTTTTTAAAATTCATTTTTTAAATGATAAAATGTTATCTGTGTCATTTTAGTTGCACCTGGGTGTGCAGCCAGGCCGTGTTTTCCTGGTGTCACGTGTCGTGACGTGAACACAACACGTGGACAATTTGAATGTGGACCGTGTCCCTATGGTTACCGCGGCAATGGAATCACGTGTGTCCCACCTCCTCGTGACAGCACACAGCCAGCTGCAGAGAAGCGTAAGCTAATTCAAAACTCCAAATGTCTTATCTAATTGCAAATCTTTCTAAAAGTTTGTATTTATTTGCACGAAAGTGTAATGGTATTTTAAAGTAGTTTTTAACCTTGTTGACCGCAAAATGCTTTCTGCATGTGGTCCTATTTATTCATATATGGGTAGCACACTATGTCATGCTCGACTAATGTTACAATTTGAACAAGTCCCGCTGATATAGGTGTAAATAATTTCAGCGCGTTTGTATAAATTGCATTCGATTAGTAAACCCATTCTTGTCTTTATAGCTGTCTGTCGATCCTGCCCCGGTAACAGACAGTGCAATGAAGACGGCAGCTGCCAGTGCACGCCGGGATACACGGGATCAAGATGCCATATTGGTAACAATTAAGATAAAGAGAGGTTCAGAGTACAGCAGCTCGAACGGCACATCGCGTGACATAAGTCTTGGGGAAACGCCCACGTGATTAAATATCGATTATGTATCGAAATATCGCCCTCGCGAGATTCGGAAAATTAGTTCATAGTATGTGTGGACTTGATAGACAAACAAATTAGTGGTTATTCGTGACAGCTGAGGTTAAATATAAATTTATGAAGGAAAATGCGTATTGATTTTGTTAATGAAACGCAATTAGCAGCCTAGAATAGAACGTCTGAAAAATGTTTGCGTAGAAAATATTTACATGCAGGAGAGGCCACAATGCTATAAAGCTTTTAGAGTAATTCTATTATGCTACTTTACAAAATCTTTTTCTGGCGTGTCTGATATCGGCTCTAAAACGTTTATTATGCCCATGTGGCATTATTATACACGTTGTTTCATACAATCAAGAAAACATTATAAATCGAATTACATGGTGCCATTTGCAGTGATACACGTAACGCAATTTTCATCAATTTTAATTCCAGCCCGCTGCAATCCCAGTTGCCTTAACCGTGGTTTCTGCGTTCGTCCCAATGTTTGCCAATGTAAGCCCGGGTACAGAGGAGAACGCTGTGAGGAAGGTAGGACAAAGGTACCCTCTACCAGGGCGGCAGATTTTGTTATATTCACTTTTTTCTGACGCAGTTCAGAAAAGTCCTATCATTTAACCAGAGACAATTCTGTGAATGTCTAGTGAAAAATTAATCTTTGGCCCTGTTAGAGGGTAAGGCAAAGGCATAGACAACTGATGCGTGTCCGCTTATTAGCTTGGGTGGGATTTTTTTTTTCATTGGAAGAGTAGAAGCAATTTTGTGGGGCGATGTTGAAGCATAGCAATGTGGGAGAAGGGACATCGTTTACACCGTCGAATGTAAAAAAATTACAATAACATAACATAAAATCCCTCTTAAAAGATTATCTTTAAAATGCTGTCATCTTCTGTGAAATTATATCACTTTTTTAAATATTCCACATAATGTCGAAAATTAAAACAAAACAATCGAATAATTATTTACTTTTGAAACGAAGAATCAGCAAAATATAAACGGATAACTGAATAACTGGATAACTAAACTGAATAACAGTTTTTACAACAATGTTTTGATAAAACTGATACTCGTTTTACATCCGTAATTTTTTTTTTTTTTTTTTTTTATGTATTTCACAACTTGACATCTTGCAACAGACAATGAAAAGACGCCAGTGCTTGGGCGGTGCAAGATGTTGGGCATCAACTTGATTCATCAATTATTCTGTCTGTCTTAAACAAGCCTTTCGTTCTCTAAGTCTGTTTGTATGAATTGGATGAGATATCCAGAAAAAATATGTATAAATGAGGACTATAAATTCTTTCTGCAACGAACAATTATTTAACTATTAAATATATCAGTAAACACACACTTTCCAGCAGGCAAACGACATTGATTCCACGTTGATTCAACGTTGATCCACCAAAAGTAACGTTGATTCAACGGTGAATCAATGTCGTTTTTCTGCTGGGTTGATACTACAGTCAAAAGGTATAATTATGTTTATCTTTTATGTCTGTTAGGATGGAAAACTGCATTCTACAAAAGTGCACTTTACCACACCATTCAACACCAAGCCAAACTATGTCATCATTCAAAGAAATTTCTTTTTATGCTGGAATTTAATAGCAAGTTTATAACCTACAGTTGACTTTTAAGAACAGTTTATTGTCAACTTTTACAGTTGACATTAAACTGTTCATTCTTTCTGACCAGTACATTTAAATTTGGCTTGGTCACAAAGGCTAACAGTCGATGTAAACCTGTATTCACTGTTCGATAGCCGTGAATTATTTTCATTGCGTAAATTTGTAGTAAAATGCGTAATCACACGGGCGGTTAAATAACGGAATGTGTTGGTTCAAATTTAGCTAAACTTAAACATTATTATTCATCTTTTTGTTTAATATATTACCACATGTTTTGTTGTCATCAAATTTAGCCATATGTGAAAGACCATGTGGACATAATGGCCGCTGCATTGCACCCAATTTGTGCTCATGTCCTTATGGATATGTGGGACCACAGTGTGAAAAAAGTAAGTTTTGACTTGTGAATTTGATTTAGAGACAGGAAAAGCGTGCATGCACGCGCGTGGCATTGGCGACGGTAATACTACGTCATCGGTTTTCAATGAATTAATATTCTTACATGTAAGTCTTGTATAAAGTTTATTTACATGTACTTCCTTGTACTGACATTTAAGCATATTTCCACGCAGTTTTACTTTCAGATAGCCGCAAAAAAACTGTAGATTTTATTTCTTTTGAAGGGGCCGTAGCGATAGTCCGAAGGTTCAATAGTCCGAAGGTTCATTGTTCACTATAGAACCTTCGGACCAATGAACCCCTGATTAAAAAATCGATAAAAATGTTACCACTTTTCGGACCAATGAACCTTCGGACCAATGAACCTTCGGACTATCGAGACGCCCCCCTTTTGAAAGTGGCTTAGATGCATCCAATTTTGTTAGTTTTTATCCAGAATTCTCTTTGTTTCAGTGATTTGCAAGATTCCGTGTCACAACGGCGCCTTGTGTATCCACCCAAATAGATGTCTCTGTCGTAGCGGATACACAGGACGCTCCTGCCTGACACCAGTCTGTGACCCCGGATGTCAGAACGGAGGCGTATGTGTCCGACCAAACGTCTGCTCCTGTCCCCATATGTATTTTGGGGAACGTTGCGAAAGGGGTAGGTTTGTGGAACCTTAACCTCGGCATTTGTAGAACATTTCTGATTCTTGAAAATGTCCCAAGGGAATGCACTATAAAACAACCCGTGAAATTTGTTTGATGAGTAAACCGAGATATATTCCCTCCAAATAACTTATTCGTTGTGTGTTATTGGATGTCGCAACATTCCATTTGAATCTTATTACTAGAATTCCCACAAAAACAAATTGAAAATGCTTAGTAAATTTTGACATTTTATGAGGTAAAGTTTCCAATTTAGTTGTGTCTGTTTGAACTGGACGGCTACGGTTCACTGTCAAAAGGCCACAGACGACCTATAGACGTCCATTTCTATTTTAGACAGATTATTGGCGCCATATATTCAGACACATCGCTAGACAAAAATTCAATTTGACCTTCACGACGCCAACATCAAACGCATTGGTATTCAATTTGCAACTAGCAACCCAATAAACCATGATCTTGTCACCTAAAGAATTCCAGGCAGACCCATACAAACCTGATGATAGTTAATCAATAAAATAATTCTTGACAGCATTACACAAGATATGCTCATAAATCACTGTCAGTGAAACAAATTTCTGACAATTTTTTACAAATAGCCTGCCATTGCGCTTATTACTTGGAACTAAGTCCTGCAAACTTTTACAAACGTGTTTCTTAATGCACAGCACACCAAAATGAAAACTTGGACACTTCGTTTTCTCTTGCAGCGCATTGCGCCCCGTCTTGTCTCAATGGTGGACGCTGTCTAAGACGTAACCAATGCGCATGCACCCCAGGATGGGCGGGGTCACGGTGCCAAATTCGTGAGTTGAAACATATTATGATTGATTAATTATAATATGTTAATTATTATACAATAATAATAATTAAGCTGTACTCTGAGAATGCTTGATAACAATGTTGATATGAACAATTGTTTACTTTCAGTGAAGTATTTCTTTTTTGTGCTAAACGACACCTTTGGGGTGTTGAGGCGGGAGGGGGCAGTTTCTGTCTTTTTTTTTTTAGAAAATTTACCGACATATCTGTCGTTTCCAGCACTATGTGAGCCGCGCTGCCTGCATGGGGGACGCTGTGTTTATGCTAACATGTGTTCGTGTCCAACCGGATGGGAGGGACCCGGTTGTAAACAAGGCAAGTTTAATCGTGAATTAAGGAATTTTATGGTCCTTATTTTTCAATGGTTTTTAAACTACACATGTTGAATATCGAAAGCCATAAGCTTATGCGAGAAAAGAAACCTTCGAGGTCAAAGATAAATATCAACGGTAATGTGTGTCATTAATTACGAATACGCTCAGGCCAGATTAATTTTTTTCGTATTACCAAAGTATATTCACTAAGGTGCATTAATGACACAGTAACGTAAGCCGACGATATCCTGTTGATTTAAAGTTGCGTTGATTAGAGTCACTTATCCACTTAACATGAGACTCGTATATTGCAGCTAAATGTCTAATTCCTTGTGAACATGGCGGCGTGTGTGTAAGACCAAACGTGTGTCAGTGTACATACCAGTACGAGGGTCCATACTGTCACAGGCGTAAGTAAGGCGTTAAGTCACAGTTTCA